TGTTTTGGATGTAGTGCAGTTCTCCCACTTTGATGCTAATCTTCTATTTCTTTTGGCATGTCCACAATCTATGCAGATCCACTCTGAATGCCCTCACCAGTCCCTCCACCTTATTAGTGTTAAGTTCTAGCTGTAATGTGAGAGGTGGTAAGTATGTTTTGGAAGTTTATATTTTCTTAAGTTGAAAATGTATTTCCAATAATACTCACCTCCTCTCATACTTTCCCACTCTTCCTCCCCACTGAGAGCTCGTATTGGAGACTGTGGATTGGGTCAGTCTCAAAAAAAGTGACAATATTATCTGGAGGAGGTGCTTATATACAGTACCAAGATAGAGGGTGCATTGACATAGGTGGAGAGTGTCACGAGACAGATGTCGCCAAGGGCAATTAATTGGGGAATAAAAGACCGGAGCAAACAAAAAAAAAAAATTGGACCAATGCTTAGATGGACAAAAGAAAAGACTCACTCATCTCCCCCCCCCCAAAAGAAACCAATATCCTAATTCTATTTCCTGTTCTGCTTCTTTGAATTCTGCTCTTAATCTGTTATTTTCACCCTCTAATATAGCAGTCTTCCCCAAAGTTATCTATAGCTTATATTCATGTAAACAGACTCTGCAACTATAGTTTACCCTATTTAGGAGCCTCCTGAAAGTCATGATCTAGCCCATAATTCTGAAAAAAAAACACTTCTGGCTCATAGTGCATCCTATAAATTCTATCCCACTTATCCCAGAACTACCTATAACCTTATTGAAGTGTACTAGTCTTTATTCTCTCTGTTACAGTGCAGTTCCTTTGTCTGTTGGACTCCACAAGAAGTTGATTTGTCTAAAGAGTATGGTCATGAAGGCAGGTATTGGAAGGTAATAGTGGAGGTGCATTCCACTGAGGGTGTTATAGCCAGCCTGTAATAGAGTGGGCAGGTGCATGAAAATTTGAGTGTCACTGATGCTACTTCTATTTTTAAAGTATTTGATAAGAGTTGGCCTGAAAATTATAGGCCAAAGAGTCTGATAAAAGAATCTTTAGAAAATTATTTAGTGAAATATGATATAAATGAAAACAAACAGATTCATCAAATGAAATATTTGCATATTATATTACCTTTTTCATGAGGATGTTACTTGTTATCTGGATGATGTAAAGAATGTGGACTTGTAGCTATATTTTCAAAAAGCTTTTGATAAGATGTCACACTACAGATTAGCTAAGCAAATCACATTGGTGGAAGTTTGGGAAAGACTAATGAATTTGATTGTAGGATAGTTGGGTGTGAGAAGACAGTTTTTTAATTAATGGAGTCTAGTCAAAATGGGTCCTTGTTTCTAGTGGATTCCCTCAGGGGTCAATGTTTGGGCCTTTGCTTTTTCTTTACATTAATGATATTGATAGAAAAAAAGTTAGTAAAATGGTAAAGTTTTCTGGCAATATTCAATTTGGTTGAATTAATGGCAACTGTCTGATGTAGAAACACAAGTGTAAAGGATGTTGTTTCAAAAGGCAGAAGACTTTCAAAACATTGTCCCCTGCACTTGTGTTTCTACAACAGGCAGTTGCTGTCCATTCAACTAAGTTTGATCATGAATACTCTGCCTAAACAATCTGTCAAAGAATATTATACTCCTTGGTATGTCTAGCCATATTGAGGATATTGAAGTATTACAGGATCATTTTGTAAGTTGGACAAATATTTAGCAAATGACCTTTAATTATAATAAATGCAAGGCAACAAGGGAACTCACTCAATAGCATGATTCAAGAAAAGGATTTAACATAGTCGTAGATAAGTCACCCAAGTCACTGAAGCTTTGTTGCAAGTAGTGAAGACAATATAATTTTAGGGTATATTTATAGATATATCAATTACACGTGAAAAGAGGTAATTATGTTAATACAAATCACTAGTTAAGCTTCACATAGAATACTGTGTACAATTTTGATGTTATCTAAGAAAGGATATTGATTTGTTCAGTTCAGAGGAGGGCTACTAGGATGACTGCAGAAGGAAGGGTTATCTTATGGGATGATTTAAGATCTTTAAAATGCCTCTGATTTCTTTGTTATATTCTATGAAATAAAAGAAAGAAAGGACACAAGTTTAGGATTTGGAAAAAAACAAGCTAGGCTCTAATTAAGACAGGTTGGTTTTGCTAACAGTAATTGAGTATAAGAGGGAGAATTGATGAAGGGTGGGCTTAATGTTTAAGTAGATGATGCTAGAGTACTGTGCAGGTGTGCGAGTCTAATATGTTGTCATATATACTAAAAATATAGAGCACACTGAGTAGGTAAAGTTACACGTGTTATCTGCTGATAGTCAATGTACATGCTATCAATGAAATGAAATCATAAAGTTTAAATGATGAAAAAGATTACAAAACAAGCCTCTGGAATGATACTGGTAAAATTTATCCACTAAAATAGACTTAACCATCTATCACAACAGCCACGCATGTTCTAGAGGTTAGCATTTTTCTCACTATGAATCTGAAGGTTCATAGTTCTTTTCTATAAAACAAAGTCATGTTCACCTCCCACTGTCTGGTCAGAAAAGAGTAACTAAAGAATTTACAATGGGTAATTTGGAGATGGTGATGTGCAGATAACCCTTTGTATAGGTTTTTGTGAATATTCCTAAATCTCTCATAACTTTCCTGTTTTTTGAAGGTGTATATTATAAATGCATACATCATTTCATATTGTTTTGTTTTTTAAATCCTTTTTTTTTTTCCTATACAGTGTTTAGCTTGCCAGAAGAGGGTTGTAAAGGATAACTAAAAGCTCACCATTTAATTAGCTTTGGTGTAAATTTGTTTTGTGTTTTATTGTACTTTTCCACATTGTAAATGATGGTCTTCGGTGACTGGAAAGTATTGTTACGTCTCTGTATGTTTGTTTGTTAATTCTTCTAAGATACAAGTCCTTTCTTTATAAAACTTGTTTATTCTTCCTCAATACAACTTTGTAATGCACTTAATTTTCACAGTTACACACACTATAGTTCACAACAATTCACTCACTTTCTATCATGCTTAGACTTAATTGTCCGTCCCCGCCAACTATAGTTCCGATCTCTGTGTCTGCTATCCTCTGTTCCCGCCGACCATAATCGCTGTCTTTCTTTCTCTCTGCCTGCTGCGTCTCTGCCCTGTCTCTCTGTCTAGCGTACTTATATACGATAATACTACCTGTTCTAGAAACTTCTAAGACTCTCATCACGTGCTACCAGCATCACTTGACTCCCGCTGTCGCAACACACTAGCAAATCTTCTAGAATATTCGTCACGTGACCCCCGCTGTCGTAACACACTAGCGAATCTTCTAGAATATTCGTCACGTGACCCCCCACTGTCGTAACAGTATGTTCTCTAAATTGAAAGGCATACATGTTGTGTTACATCATTTATAATTTACTTCAAATTATTATTACAGAAATTATAAAAGGGCATTCAGCCAATGAGATCACCCCTAATTGTCCAAGCAACTAAGACTAACCCATTTAAATGTAAGTCCTCTTATCCTCGTATCTGTCCAACAAATACTTAAAAGAATCCAAACTATCAATACTCCAAATCACCAGGCAAACTTGTACACATTAACAGCTATTAATGTTTGGTGGATGGTGTTTTTCATTTAAATATGTTTTTGCTTAAATAATTAATGTTTTGATTGTTATAGTACCAGTCAGTTTATACAGATCTAGGTTTTGATTCTGTCTTTAATGATGCTGTCCTGCATTAATCTGTGCTTTATATTGTTATGAATTATACATTCACTTCTTAGTGTGCAATAATGAAGATTCTTTCTTTACAACAATCTTATATTTTTGCTTTATTTGTATTGTAGATATGTGGGTTGTTTTTCTTATCAAATTTTACTTCAATTAATTTTGTTAAGAAGGAATATCTTATCTTACTTGTATTCCTGATATGAAGAGCTTTTATTCAGAGTATCAGACTCTCTGTATGAATATAATCACTGAACAAATCATGACATTGAATTATTGTCAGTCAATTAATTACAGTTATATGAATTCATCATATACAGGTAGTATTGTGCAAGTATATCTGAAGTTTTCTTTCTAGGCTTGAATCTTGCAAAGTTGATGAATCATGTATGTAGACTTATTTCAAAATCATAACCAATAAGTATGCTGTAATATATATGGCTTAAAAACTGGCACAACAAAGGTGAATTGTGAAAGGTGGTAGAAATAGTATGGTCTTAGTGAAGATAATCTTCAGGTTAAGGAAGTGTGTCATTTACATACCTCTTATTCTTAGTGTCTTACATTATCTATGCATCTATATAGTAACTCTCAAATGTATTTATTTATGTTTAGGAGTTATGAACTTTTCCAATCATTTCTGACAAGATTACTTGAAATTGTACATGTAAGCACTTTACCACCCACACCCCAAACACACACACAGACACAGCATAAATGAAGAAAACCTTTTTTCGAAAGAGTTATGATGGAGTCTTAAAAATGCAAGTTGGTAACATGTAGGAAGCCATTAAAGACAGTGAAAATTTGCAAAACCTAGCTTCCTCTATTAAACTGGGGGTTACAGTGGTTTTTGAAAATTGGTGTGGACATATTGGGAATCATTCAAAATACATATCTATATAAATTTTCAATCTTTCCATATTGGGTCCTCCATCATAAGGAATTTTTATATGTAAACAGAAGTTTAAAGTATCTTGGCTGAACAAAGCTATTGGAACTGTTCACAGCAATTCTTTGTGGCTAATCATCTATATTACAATAGATACAATGTTGATGTTAGATTTGATAATAAAATAAATTTGGCTTTGCAAATTTTGAAAAGAAATCACCAGATATATTGTAAAGATGCTCTCTCACAATAATAATGTTATTTCATCTTTACTCTTCCAGAGTTTTTCTGAATAGCTTTAGCTTGTAAGTAAATGTACTTCAAGGATGTGGTGGTAAAGGAATAAGTGGGTAAACTAACCTTTTTGGTGTTCCAGACCTCAGCTTTAACCCTTGGTATAGCCAGGATTTGCTTATCCTGAATAAGAGTGAGTACACTATTTGTTATTCTATAAGTTAAGATTTAATAAATGCCATATTACCCAAATGAAAAGTGGGGAAACACAGTTTTCCTGCATTTCTCAAGTATACCATTAAATATTTTAATAGATAATCTGTGAGAAATTACTGATATATATATCAGGCATAAAGTGTATATTACATTTGCATATCTTCACATTCAGTTTTATGGTGACTACTTCTACTTGATGGGTAGAGCTAATATGTATGCAGAGTACAGAGCTGGGAGAACCACCTCTCCTGCAACCCCAGTTTTTGGAAAAAGACCAAGATCATCAGATCCTGATCCTCATGTTAGACTGAGTTTTAATCCTTCAGGGTTTTTGCAGAACTTTGGAAACCCATTTCGTCGTAAACAGAAACCAAAGGTATTCGTGTTATTGTCAAGCCCAGTTCTATAAATGTATTATTAACTAGTAGTAAGTACAAAGTAAATTGGATTTAAATAATTAATGCAGTTGTCTGCATATTATGTAGAAAAAGAACATGAGATTTGCAAAATAACTGAAGCTCAATTAAGTCAATTGTGTGAAAATCCACTTGGAAATAGATTTATTATAATTTTTTTCTTATTTTTTATTTTCTGAAATGAGCTAAACTCAAAAGTAATAATTCATGATACAATTGTTTATGATCACTTTAAAAAGATCATTGTGCTTTAAAAACACATCATTTGAAGCAGAAGTACTTTGGTTATTAGTTATATGCAGTAAAATTAAGTTTACCTTCCAGATTGCAGATTATAAGTTTCTGTCTATAGCTTGCATAATAGAAAAGTGTGTATTTCTGAAATACAAGGCAAAATATGATAACTAAGTCCAAAGGAATTAGTGTAGGATATTTATTTGTTAAACAAAAAAGAAATGCATGTTTAACTCTATCTTGATGGGTCACATGTCAAAGGTCATGTCATTGTGTTTGTTGACTTGCATTCAAACTTTTATTGAACTACTATTTTATGAATCTATGCTAATAAGTTTGGTATGAAATTGTAGATTATAATTCAGATTTTAATATTATACTTTATTTAGTTTCTTAATTTAAAAGTAAATATTAAAAAAATAGTTAAACATTGATTTTTGTGTGTCATGTGGTATATTGAATGCAGCTGTGATTCAAATTAGATGTTTGGTGTCAAAATACAAAATCTACAGATTAGTATGAATTGGGAATTCAAACTACCGATATTGTCAAGCTAGAATATAAAATAAGAATGTTTTATCATTCCTATTTGCTAAGATATCGCTCCTGTACTAAATCAAACACAGTGGCTCCCCCCACCCCCCCTCCCAGCCCACCTCTTTCCATTTTTGGAAATGGTTCCTTATATACACTTACTTCTAAATATAATATGAATAACCAATTGAAAGCTCAGAATATCCCCCTAGTGGTTTTCTCAGCCATTCTGACACGTTATTATGCTAATTTCTTTATTTTCACACACTATTTCAAAAGATGAGATGGGTCTTTATTGAGATCGAAATTTCATATTTTTTTAGACCCAAATACAGCTTAGTTACTGCACTTGATAGATTACAGTGGAATTCTGTAGTATTGATATAGTAATTTATTATTTAAAATGTATATATATAAAACCTAAAAAATTTTCTTTATACATCCTCCACATGGAAAATTTCATAAGGCTTAGTAACTTACGACAAATGGCAAACGAGTATGAATGTTTTAATTAGAAGAAATAATTGTTTGCTTTACTTCTTTATTTACTGTTCTATGTTTTAAGAAAAATAAGTTTAAGAGTTTATTTGTAAATAGAAATAATGTTTATACTTGTATATAATAGTTGAAATATGACTGTATTTTACAAAATACTAGTCCACTAAAACACAGCCAAGACAGGCCACTAAAGGTCAGTTATATATTATTGGATATGCTAACACGAGTGCATGTGCACCGCATTATTGTAACCTGTGTTGTTAGCCAGAAATGGCTGGAAGGTCAATATAATAAAAATAATAGATATATATATATAAATGTATAATGTTGTGAGATTTATGCCAAATATTTTTGTTTTTGTGTTATAATTTGTAGGCATAATTTATATATTTTCTAATTCTTTATTGAGGTTAGGAAGTTGGTTAAACCAACTCGTAAAAAATACACTAGTAAAAATAACAAATAAAATAATAGTTTTTTCTTCAAAAAAATTTGATAATTATCTGGAGAGTATAAAGATATCACTTGTGAAACTTGAAAATGTTTTAATGCATTAAAGTATTTTTAATTGTAAAATCAAAATTACTTTGCATGTTGGATAATCAACATTCTGAAAGAAAAAGGTTTACGAGAAAATCTTTAATTAAAAAATCGTAATACTTAATTTAAAAAACCTGATATTTTGTATATGAAAAGCTTGTAATGTTTACCAGTAACCTGCAAAATTTTGTAACGATGTGCATACATTATCAAAAATCGTACTATAATTGCTCTCATGGATACTTTCGTGGTTATGAGCTGGGTGAATTCCACCCAACCCGTAATGAAAGAGGTTCAATATTCAAGTATTATTCAGATCAAAAATAACAATACTTATTTTCTAAATATAACTTCCATGTTTTACACACATACACACACCACTATCCCAAACTGGTCAGGTTGGTCTTTGTACATGTATAATGAAACATGTTGAAAAATTCTTTTTCTGTATGTTAAAATTCTCTAAGCACTTGCTCAACAATTGCTAAATGCAGTTTTATTCTCAGATCTTGTTACATGTCACAGTCCTTCATGTATGCATTCCACTATTCTTCGTTTTGTAGCACTTTTCAAATTTTTCCTTGCCACATGCCACAATTTACATTTGGCAGTAATTTTCATAGAAGTATGTTTGCCACAGTTCTTCATTACTTTATATAGTTAGTTGTTAACTATTAAACAGATGCTACCTAGTTCAGATAGCTAGAATTTATTTCTCAAAAAGATGTATATATAACATACCATAAATTAGGCTTACAGCTAAGAAATTATCAACAATCAGTACACTGTTGTGTGAACACTTATCAGCTCCTACCATCAAGTATTTTTGTGCATGGTACCCGGTGTCTAATAAGGAAAAACTTGAACTACTTTTTTATACTTCCATTACATGTAATCAATTCTGAACAGCTGTGAACATTTAAATAATTTCTGTGACCAAATTTGGACCTTCAAGAATGATTTGGCAGCTTCCAGAACATATTTGTGCAGTAGTGCTTTCAAATGTGGAAGATGTCTAGTTGGTGCTGAAGTTTGTGTTTAAATGATTATGAAGCATAGTAGAAAACGTGTAGTAAAAACAGGTAAGAATAAATGTTGCATTGGTAAGTATTTTCTACCAATTGGGAAACCAGGACAAACATTGGAGACTTTCAGTTGTAGGTATTGGAAGAAATGTATGTCCTCAATGATAGGAAAAAAGTAACCACATAAACAATTACAAGAAATTCTGGACTGGTCATGGCTATTAATAAGCCTATGAACCTGAAGTTTTATGGTTTGCATCCCACTGCCTGAAAAGTATGTTTCATACTTTGGAGCCATGGGTGTGCTATAAAAGAGATGGTCAAATTTTACTATTTGGTCACACAAAAGAAGCCTAAGAGTTGCAGTAGGTTTTGTTGATAGCTATCTTTCCTTTAGTCTTTCAGTTAAAAATTAGGTATGACTGCATTCTTATAACTCTTGTGTAGCTTTCATTAAAATTCTTAAACAAGCAAGAAATATTTTAACGAGGGTGAGACATTTTTGTCCTGAAAACAAGCAAAAACTCCAGTGTTATTACGCCATAAATTAGTAGTAGGCCTACTTATGTATCTGAACCAGATAGTGTACTGTGAAAATGAAGATGAAATTACCAGTTTGAGTGTGTCCTGTGTCTCTTATACTGAGCATTTTGCACATGCTGACTAAGGACCACACACTGCCTCACCATTGCCAAGTAACCCCTAACTTGTTAACTCCACATCACTCAAGCTCCAACATGGAAAGGCTTGTTGAGTTTATGACAGCAAAGTAACACAATTGTGCTTTTGTTGTTGTATTTTTTTCAAGTAAAATAACATGATTGTTCTGTAGTATTATATGGTAGAATATCTCCATTTCTGAATCCTTCTGACAGGCAACATCATGAAACTAGTCAAATTACTCCACAGTTGAGTCTCAGGGTAAAGGTGACGTAAACCATCCCCAGAGCTCTGATCTTTTGAATGTGCTGTTTACTGAAATCCAGAAGAACAATGGGTCACTTATTTCTTTAAAACTGTCAGTGGAAACATTGGGCCTTCATATGGCTACTAACATTTTGGATCATGATGACATGGAAGAAGGCTACTTCCAGGAAGAGAATACCGACGAAGCATTCCAGTTATGGAAGGTTGTTTAAACTACATCTCATATTGATGAGAGAGAGGCATTGTCTTGCTTGGCTTGGAGCAGAAGCAAGAAAACCTTGTGGGCCAAACCAATTTGGGCTGGAAGGAAGTGGCGGTGACTCAGAATCAAGGAGATTGTTCACTCAGATATGGGGAATATATATTTTAGATTTTATCTTTTGAGAAAGGTAGCTTCATGTATATTGCTGTTCTTAGCCTCTCTTCATCTACTGTAGTGACTAAGTAATCCTTTAGTAAAAATGGTTTGTTCACTCTTAAGATGCACAACAGACTTACTTTAAAAATGACCAACCACTCTAAAGAGAAACCTTTAACCGGAGACTTGCGAGTAGGAACAGGCATGTAAAAATGTACCACTTCAACTGATCAATTTTAAAAAGAGTGAATTTTTTGAATAGTCAGTGTTGTAATTGCCATAATAATGGTAGAAGAAGATGAGAAGGAGCCTGAAAAGATTGAAAATTGTTGAACATGGAACCAGTGTTGAGAACTAGAGGGACAAGAACCAGACATTGAACCAAGAATAATTAAAGCTTTATTTGTGTAACAAAAGTCAGTATGTTTATTATTGTTTAAAAATTAATGCTGATTGTGAGCATAGTCAGTTTAAAAAAACGAAAATTATTGGACAATATTCAATACCAGCAAACCCATGGGCTTATGGCCCACATTTACAGGGTCACTATAATGCAAATTTAATACTTGAACCACTATTTTGCACTTTTTAATTTTAATGATCTTTGCCACTATAATGCAAGTTTCATTTCTTTAACCAAGTTACGAACAGTAATTAGTATGCTTACTTATTTACATCTTCAAATGTAAATCAATGCCAAATTTGGGGCCAGCTTTCAGGGAATCCCATAAAAGTGTTTTTGAGAAATACCCAGGTTCCCTAATGTGTTTGGATGAAAAGTTTTACCTTTGTGCAAAACTTGGGCTGAGACAAGTAATTTGGCAGCACTTAAAAGTTGAGTCCAGCAGTTTAGGAGAAGGGTTTTTGGACAATTGTTGGTTTCCCGAAGGGGTGAGGTGCAAAATTTTATCGTTTTTTTTTTTTTTTTTTGTCAGGCCTTGGGACCAAGACAATTCATTTGGTACCAATTAGAAGTCAGTGTGATCCAAGGTTTAGGAGGTGTTACGTGATATGCACAGACACACACACAAAAAAAATCATATTATAAAAAAGTTTTTATTCAATGCATGTTTAGTATAAAAATAGAAAAATGTTTATGTTAAAATGATGAAGTGAAAAAATGTATTTATTATTTTATAAGATTACTCAATTATTACTGTATTTAGATTAGTAAAGATTGATGGCAAATGGTTCATTACTTTAAGTTTTAAGTATTTTGTCAGTATTCAAATTAATTATATTAACATATTTATAATAACACACTAATGATTTTGAATAAGTATTTGACTCTCAATAATTAATAATTATTTTTGTGTGAAATACAGTTTAAAACATGTACAATAATACAGTATTTTTACAGTCACAGGAATGCTAGAAATTATAATTTACCACTATGGATAAAGTGGCTGATAATATTAATATTTTAAACTACCGGTTTTGGATAAAAGAATTATCACAAAGGATCACATATAAAGAGTAATAGACTTAAAATAAGACCCAAAACTCGAGAGCTTTCGAATAGTTGAATATTTGACCCTTTGTTTTCCTGAAGAAGAATAGTCAACTATTCGAAAGCACTCGAGTTTTGGGTCTTATTTTAAGTCTATTAAACTACAGGTAATTTTACATCACTAACCATGTATTTGCTTTATATGCCAAGTAACTACTTCAATTAATTATATATTGTACATGTAATTGTATATAATGTTAATGTATTATGTTCTTATTTTATTTTTAAAAAATTTTAATTTTGGTATTTTATATCAAACTGCCTTAGATAGAAATAAAATTAAGTCTTAAGTTATTTTTTGTGCTTCTATACCTTTTGGCATTATTTTAAATTTTGATTATCTTTTGAGGGAAAATTACCATTACAAGGATATTGTGAATACATGCCCTTTTCCTTATTTTATATGCGAGTCTTCATTGTATGTTAATACATACATATAGGTCAACCCCATTTTTCTCTTTAAACTTTTTAACAATTTCTATATTGTAGTAAGTTATATTCATGTGGACATTTGTTTCATATATCCATTGTCAGTATTTTTAGTTTTGTAACATGTTGTAGATATTATACTAACTATTTTTGTGTGCAGCATGACTTGCAACAAAGTCATCCTGTTATCACTCAAACCATGAAAAAACGGGAATTTATAGAACTGGCTAGTTTTGGTGTGATCAGGGAGTATGACCCCTCAAAGAAGGGCATAGGACACAACTTTCAATCAGTACAGTTGAAGAGCCCAACCTGGTGTGACTTGTGTGGAGAATTTATATGGGGTGTATATAAATCTAACCATTGCTTGCAGTGTAGGTGTAAGTGACTTCTTTTAAGTACAAAATATTAATATTAATTTTTTTTTTAACTTGTTATGGACTGTGATTGCCATGGTTCTTGTGTTAAACCATTTTAAATACCAGTCCACAAGAAATTTCAGCCCTATAATTTTAACTCTGCCTTGAAATCCAAGAAATGGGAACATTTGAACTGCATGTTGATGTTGGATTTGATAATAAAATAAATTTGGCTTTGCAAATTTTAAAAAGAAATCACCAGATATAAATTATTTTACTTTTTTTTTCTGAATCTGTTGTAAAAAACTTGTAACCAGTTATTGTTAAGTTTCAGTTTTTTGTTTAGTGCATCAAAATTAAATTGTTTCATAATTTATGATTTTTTTTTTTCACAAATATATGTACTGGAATATTTATCAGTGCATCCTTTTATTAAATGTTAAATGACTTGTAGTGAAAATAGTGTAGATATTGTAACATAAAAATAATAACTTACTCTGAGAAATCTTTGAATCCTATAGTTTATTTAGAGCACCTTTAAGAAATTTTTGTTGTTGGGCTGTCATTTAATAGGTCTTAGTTGGAAAGACTATTGGGCTACTTACTTGTTTGATTTAACAAAGACCCCACAACAATGTACTTTCATAATTGTTTAAGCTGAAAGATTATTTTACATTTTATTTCAAAAACAGTATTATTCAGATATTAATTTCAGTACCCGCTTGTTTTTTAAAAAACAATTCTTTCGTAATTTTAATTACATCATAGTTTTCAGCAATACAGATTTGAGTACAAGGGGCCAAATTTTGCTCTTATGATTCTGTTATTAAATTTGCAATTTTTAAACAAAATCCTTTATATTTAATTTTTTCCATAACTGGCTACAAAATGTTTTGAGCAAATGGAATCTCATTACGTAGTATATAAGATTTTTAATACACAAATTATTTTATTACCAGATTTTAAAATTTATCACATTATTAAAATTAGCAATTTCCAATAAAGCCAAGGTGTTTCCTGAGTAATGATATTTATGTTAATGTATAAATTTATGTGAATTTTCAATGTTGTAATGTTGAAAATGATTATCAATTAATAAACACTCCACCATGTAATTATTAACAAGTTTCTATTGATTTTAGATATTTCTAATTTTTTAAAACAAGAAATTATTTCAAATTTGTGTATTAATAATGAACAGCTTATCAAAATTTTTGTGTAGCTCTGATGTTCAGCAATATAAATTTCATATATTGACATAATGTACCTTTCTAAAGAATAGTACATTAGGTACTGCTTGTAAGATTACACATGTATCTTTAACTTTTGTTCAAATGTTTTCACCAAAAGAATCTGACTTTTGTTTTAACAGATTGCCACTATACATGTCATACAGTTTGCCAAGATCTGGTCACATTGGATTGTAAGACAGACAAAGACACAACTAAATTAACACAAGTTATTACAAAAAAGAAACCTTCTTCACCAAATAGAGTTGAGGTAAAAAAATTTAAATTTATTACAACAGATGTTCTGTTTCATAATGGTATCAGTCAATTAGTTTCTAGTACTGTTTTGAGTGTGTGCCTGTAAAACTCTTTGAACTGAAAACAAACCATTGTCTGCTCCACTACCCTATAGATTTATGTGTGTTTAAAAGAAAAAATTTAAAAAAAAGGTCATTCATTGAGAATATAATTATCCATGTCTTGTTTTTCATGAGATTTTTATTATCTTGTAATGGTTTTATTACAACCCTTCATTGCCACATTTTATGACATTACAGTTTGTGGTCTAAACAATTATTAATGAAGCATAGTTCTGAAAAATAGCTGTAGGCAACATTTTAATATGGTTATATAGAACAAATTGTAAATTATTTATGTTGTGTGTGCTCTTACTGTGTGAGTGTGTGTATTGAATTCACACTTACTGAGCATTTACGTTCTTAGTTCACACTAGATAATTGAGTATATACATTGACTTCTTATTGTTACTAATGTTTTTAGAGTTCTCACTGTTTCTACCTGTTAGTATGTGTGTGCTGACTTCACTCTTTTTAGTAGTGAGTGTTTGAATTCATAATGTTATTGTAATTAATGCTTTTTTGAGTTCATGTTTTCAGTGTGTGTATACCAGTTCAGTTCATACTAGTGCTAAATTCATTGAGTTCACACTGTTATTTAGTATTCATTGGTTTCTCTGTGTTACTGAGCATGTGTTTAGTTTTACTTTTAGAATGTGTATTTGTTCAGTTTATACTGTTAGTGAGCATATGTGGACAGTTAAAAATGTGTTCTGCTTTAACGTTTTGATTGTGCTAACATATAACCCATTTAATCAGCTCTACTGGTGTTTGATTGGATTTTTCATTTTGTGCTATCTAATCAAGATTGTAAAATATAAAGTTATTTATATATGAATTGTTTGAAAGAATTATAGTATTGACCTAAATTCAGCAAATTCCACTATGTGTAAAACCTATAAAGTTGTTATTTTTGGTTTATTTTCAATAAAATTTAGCTTAGCCTGGGAAAATATAGGACATATTTTTTCTTCACCTTATGCTATAGTTGAAACTTTGCTGCAATTGAGTATTAAGTGCTTTTCTACAAAAATGTCCAAACATCTGTTCATTCAGTAAAATTTCTAACTTTTGTTCTGTAATGGGCAGTGCCCTCAGGGCTAGTCATTGGAGCTTTGATTGTACTGCTGATTACACCAAATTTATTCAGTTGAGAATTTCAGTGGGGTGTGGAGCTCACAAGTCGCTAACTTGAGGAGATTTATGGTTAGTCTAAAGAAACTGATCATGAGATTGATATTTAACACAATACATCAAGTTTATTTAAGTTTCTTAACATAAAATACACTTCTTTGATCATTTATTAACTCTTCATAAAAGAACACATTTGGGTTAAAAACACTAATACTTAAAACTTGTACATAACATCAAGTTTCTTGGCTTTTATATGCATCTCTAGAATTTATCCAAATTCATATTATTTGATTAAGAGAAAAATAGTTTTATTCCTTAAACACAGTTGATCCGGTAAACTTTTATAGCTTCTGGATTATCAGCAACTCTGGGGAGAACACTGATTTTTAGCTCCAGAGATGAGATTTTAAATCATATTTTCTTTGTATTCTTTCGACTTTCCAAATAGTATTCTTAACTACCTGCAAGTAGTTCTAACATTTTATTGGTCAATCTGTGCAACTCCTCGAGCTAATCCAAAACAAGAACCAAAACTCTTGAGTAATTGGTTACTGTACTGGTGAGTTCTCTGATTGCATTTTTACTTGTGCTATTACACTGGTGTGGAGTAACAGATCTCTCATCAAAGTGCCGATTTGAGATGTTATAAACTTTTTAGTAGCCTTTACTGTACTACTAACTCGACATCAATAATTTATCACTGTCAAACTTATGGCTAGCATTTTTCTCAACATCTCGGTTGTAGCTTAATTTTTTATAACTCGTAATACAGACGTCATTTACTTGCGCCATTTATTCATGTATATGTTCACTTAAAAACTCAGAAAATCGTTATAACTTCTTTCTTAAACTCTTTTAAAATGCTGAAGCAGTTGTAAAATTTCCTCAAAAATATCCAATAGAACCCAAAAGAACCCAAATCATCCATTGCAATATTGTTAAACATACACAAAAAAGAAAGTGTTTTTAAGCATTTTTTGTCTGTCCAATAAACTTCTACTAATATGATGTTTCTGGTTTGTTTTTTGTTTTTTTTGTACTTTAAAATTGTAGTTTTATTGCATATTAACAATTGTTTAATTCTTTATTTGTAATATTAAAATTTGTCTTAAAATAATAAATAGCTGGCTGATATATGAATTAGTAAGGTGGTTGTAATTAAGGCTATTTTAAAGACCCGTCAAAGTTTAAGTGTTTTTTTGTTATATTTTAGATGACCAATAATTGTGTTGTTCTCAATACCTTAATATTACTACATTAATATTTACAAACCTCTAGGTATTGAACAATTCTCGGCTAAAAAATTGAATGTATCTGTTCTAAGTCTTCACCAATAATCTGACGTGATATCTTGAAGTTACAGAACTAAAAAAAAAAGCCAAGTGCTATCTTTTATTGTAAGGAACTTTTGTTAAGATTCCATGTGGATTTTATAGAATGATAATATGTCCAAAGTAAAATGATTTGTTAAATAGCTATTCAGTCTTCAAGATTTGTTGGTGATAAAAACTTAAAAAAAGAATGTATTATTTTAGGGCTAAAAATGTTTATTTCATCTAGGCTATATATTTCACTGTGAATTTATCATTCGCAGCAGGAAGCTGAAATATTTGATGGTTACATTCGAGTACATCTAAACCTAACTCGACCAATCAATGTAGTTTCTGGCACAAGACCTCCATCCATTTATGATATTCTCAAGGAGGAAGAGGAGGAGAGTAGAAGTAAAACATTAACATCTTTTTATTTGCCAAGGGACACTATAAAAGCCCTCCATGTTACCAGGTGCTTCTTTCATATAGTTGTATTAGTTCTTTATACTCATGCAGAGGCAGTTAGGCTTTTTGTCTGGGACAGGTTATATTGATCTGTGAAACTTTCTAGTGAGGTGTAGAATGATTATGTTTAAAGGTATGGGCTATTGAGTAATTTTAACAATAACTTGATTGTACGTGTAACAGTACTGATTTAGGAAGCTCTTTCCAAATATCTTAAGTATCTTAGTTTGTATATACCACCAATTTCCCATTAAATAAGATGGCTACTGTGACAGACCTTTATTCAATTTTTTTTTAATTTGTTTAACTTTTTTAATTCACTTGTTTCAGTAACATTATTAATTAAGCAAACATAAGTTAGCAATTAATATGATAAACTGTTAGTGTCTCATTACTAGTATTAAGTATTAATGTATGGATTGATTACTGATAGTTCAGAAATGTGCGTGTATATGATATAGTATATCACCTAACATCACAACTATGTTAATGTAGTTTTCCATAAGTCATTACTTTAACATTTATGATATTTTATAATACCTCTTCTCACACGTATAGATATTCTCATTCAGTAGTGCCCTCTATATGCAAAATTTTGTTTTTCCATGCCACAAGCCTTGAACTCCCACATACCCCCTGATCAATGTAGTTCAACTCTGTCTCGCATGTAAATTATTATGCAACAACCCTCCACCAATAGGAGTGAGACACCCTCCTCATGCATGTAACTCCTTCTATTTAATTCTACTGAACTATCACTTCTCTTCAGGCAGCGTTCAAGTGCATATGTTTTTCAATTGTGCTCTTTTTTATATATTCCGTTCTTTTTTTTTTTTGCAAAGTAGTGATTTACTTGATTTATCCATTTGCTACGGTTAGTTTTTCTGTAGTAGTTTGCTGCAATAACTTACCTTTTTTACTTTTTTTTCATTTTTAATGCTTTAAGATGAATTAAGAAGTTTGTGTTTTACAACTTCTGATATTATTAGTGCTACTTCATGTGCCATTACTAGCTTCAGGTCTGGGTGTCTCGAATTAGGATTTTTTGGCTGTCATTTGTTGGAAGATTGTTTGTTATACGAGGTGTCCTTTTTCTCCTGCATTGTCCGAACCTGTTCTTGACAAGCAGGAGTTTGATAGTTTTTTATTTTCCTCCTCTTAACTATGCCATGCCTTCCCATGCATCTCCTATGAGATCTACTTGGCCTAACTCTGCCTTTTTCGATAAGCTTTCTCAGATGTGTTGTTTTTTCGTTTTCACTGTTTTTTATGATACTGTTCCTTCTTTTTTCTATGTGACACCTATCAGTAGGGTCCCTTGTTTCCCTCCTTCCCCTGACATCTTGATTCATGCTGAGAATTTTGTTTATCAGCTGAGGACTGGTTTTAGCATGCTTTTTCCTCTATGGACTTCTGATCTTTATGCTTTGGCTTATCAGCAACCTGATTGACCCTTTCTCCACATCCAGGTGTTGGAGTCAATTTTGCCAATGTGCAGACTGTCCCTGATAATCCTGTACATTTTCCCATTTTCAATTACCTTGTAGCTCTTCTGCAATACTTGTCCAATATGCACCACCTTTCTGAGGCACTCCACCAATCCCCTCAGGGTTTTTCAGGGGATACTCTTTCCCTTCTTTTTCCTCCTTGGTGCTTTTGCCCTTTTTTGGCCCTATCCCTTCGCATGTTGTTTTGTTGCTGTTGGGATCATATTAAGAAGGTTGCTGTCTTTTGACAGGTTTATCTACCTTCCCCTTTTTATCTAGATGGCTCCTTTTATACATCTGTTTGTTTTTGAGTTCTGGGTGCTTTTCACCTTGTGGCAGATCATTTTTCAAGTCCCAACCAGGTTTATCTCACGGAGTGGTTTCTCGACCCTTTAGGTTTTCAGGTGGTTATGCAATATGTGAGGTACTCCTCATCTGGATGGTTTTGCCACTTTACTCCACCACCAATTTAGCTCTTTATTGGTCTCTGGTTGACCATTCTCAGACCCTGGCAGTGGATTTTCTCAGTCAGAACTGGACCAACTGGTTCCATTTACATTCCTTCCAGATACATTGACCTTCTCATCATATGGTTATTCCAGATCAGTTTTCATACATAAAACTTTAGCAGCTCATGAGCATCATTCTTTCTTTTTGCCATTTTCTGTTTTTGTGACCACCAGTTGTACTGTCTCCAGAGTTGATGTTCCTCTGTACTCCCCACCATGTTTTATTCCCCTTGTTCTTCTATTGGGGTATGGAATTCCTTGGCACTTTCCAGTTCCAAGCCACTGGAGTGGTGGATCTTGTAGGAGTTCTCCTGAATGTGTTCGCTTCCATTCAGTAGAGAGTAGGGCAGCAGTGTTCTGCTGGTGTAGATGGCATGTGATCCTCCAATCATGCACTCCATGTGGTGGGTCCCGGAGGTTGAAGTTTCACTCAGCTTCTGTATGATTCTATCCTGATGATGAGGTTGCTTATATTTTCTAGATATGATCCACTTCTGTGCAGTGAGACCTGGAGGGTGAAGTTGAGCTCCAACTTCTGTACAGTCCTATCCAGGGGATGATGTTGCACACGTCTAGAAGTAAATATGCTTCACCTCCGTGCAGTGGATCCCAGAGGTTGATGTTGCATGCAGCTTCTGTGTGGTTCTATCCGGAGGGTAAGGTTGATTATATTGTATGGATGCATTCCATTTATGTGTGGTGTTATCTGGAAGTTGCTATTGCACTCCAACCTTTGTGTGGTCGTATTCGGAGGATGATGTTGCCTTGTAATAGATCCATCACACTGCAGTTCACCCTTTTGATTGTGATCCCTCATCCTACCGTCACCTAGATGCTAATTCCCAGCGAGTGGTTTGGATTAGAGCTTGACAAATCAACATAAATCCTCACTCATGTGTTAGTTGTGTTACCTCTTCCTCACTCAGTTTGCCTCAGAATCTATACCTCCATGTAGTGGGTCCCAAAGGTTGATGTTGCACCCAGCTTCTGTGAAGTTCTATCTGGATCATGAGGTTTCTATATATTTCTACAGGAGATCCACTTTCTGTGCAGTCCTATCCAGAGGATGATGTCAATTGAGATGATGGTTCTTCATCTCGTGCTCCACCTTGGGGTGTTTTCACTGCCTGAGGCTGATGTTGCACAGTGAGTTGCCAGTCTGATTGAGTTTTATGTGACCTGCCGCATAGGCACATTTCTTCCTACCATCATTCAGATGTCGGGTTCCCAGATGTGTGGTTGTTTGTGGATTTGTGCACGTGCTCATTTCATAGATTAGTTTGTACAGTATATTTTTCTATTCTAATTAACTTGAAGCGAAGACAGTGTGTACCCTCTTCCTACTATGAGCTGGAAGTTCTATTCCCAGTACTGCTTTGTTTTAGACTGGAGTTTACCAGTTGCATATGGTCTGTTGCACCCTAGCCACTTTACACCTTGAAGCACTTTCATTTTTGCTTTCCCCACATTCCTGTCTGTAGATGGTTCTTCTACAGTTTGTTCTATGGGACTGAGCTTCCGATATACTGTGATTCCGATGTTGACCCAACCAGTTGTCTCTTCCATTTTGGTTGTGCATCTTCCACTTTCTGCCCATGTATATGACACCTATTTCCACACTTGGCACAAAGTATAACTGGTACAGAAGTGGCACAGTCTTCTATGTGTGTTCCTCTCCCAATGGAGATCACAATTCATGGGTGTTCTTTGGATGCTTTTGACCAATGCTTATTTTCTATACCTCGCACTGGTCTTTCCACCTGTTCAGTCTGGGATTCTAGCTATACGTGTGAGAAGAGGTAACGTACCGTATTAGAAGTTATTATTTTCCTTTGCTTTTCTGCCTAATCTTGAAGTGATAGTTCAGTAAAATCAAATAAGAGGGAGTCACATGCATCAGGATGGTGTGTGGAGGTAAGTACCTATCAGAAATATCAGTATAGGAAAATAATAACGTTTGTTTTATGTCTACTGAATATTTGCAAATAAACTTTGAACTCTCATTCTCTTTAATTTTACTATAGCTTTTAAGATTGAACAGGTTAATGACTGAGCATGTGTGAATTGTAGTGAATTTTCTTAGTTACTTGTTGTGACCTTTGCTAAGGTACATTCTTTCATTTTATTTTACCATTTCTTTTTAATGTTATTGTTTAGTGACAGTACCATTCTTTCTTTAAGACTATAATTTAATCTCTCAAAACTTTCATATGTATTCCACCCTTTTTTTCTTTTAATCTGTACCCAACACTTTTATATATACATATGATTTGAGGACAAAAAAAGGACCTGTTAATCCATGTAGGCTGTCCCATTCACTAAATGAAACTTTAAAATGAAAATAAAGCATTAAATGCCAGCCATTATCATTCATATATTCATCAAGCCTTTAATTAAACTCCCTTAAATTTACTTCATCTACCACACCTGAAGGCAACCCATTCCAAAGGCCAAACAGTATTAAAAAAAATAAAGCTTTCTTACCTGAAGATGACTCCTACCCTTCCAAAATTTATACTTGTGTCCTTTAGTCCTACTATTCTCACTATTTAGTACAAAAAGGTTATGAATTAACACTATCAGTTCCCTTAACAAATTTAAACACCTTAATCAGATCCCCCTATAACTTCTCTTTTTTCAAGAGAAAAGAAGTTCAGAGATTTTACCTATTCTCATATTATAACCTTTCCATCCCAGATATCATCCTAGTAGCTTGCCTCTGAACCTTTTCCAACAATTCAATGTCCTTTCAGAAGTAAGGAGCCTAAGACTAAACATATTACTTCACATTTAGCCCCAACCAGTGTCCTATACAATGAAATTATAACCTCTTTAGACTTGTATTCAATATTTCTGTTGATACAACCTAAAAATCTTCTTTACCTTCCCACTAGTAACAGCACAAAGCTTGGATGTTTTAAGAGACTGATCAACCAGTCCACCAATATCTTTTCTTCCATAACCCTGTTAAGGTTATTTCCATAAAACTTGTACTCATAAATTCAAATTGTGATATCCCACATGCATTATAGTTAAAAGCCATCTGCCATTTATTTGCCCAAGTCACCAAACAATCCAAATCCCTTTGTAAGGCAGTAAAATCCTTCTCACAGCCAGCAACAACCTAAACTTTAATGTCATCAGCAAATTTAAATAATCTATTGACCATTCCTTTATCTATGTCATTCATATAAATCAAAAAGAGCAAAGGTCCTAACACTGAGCCCTAAGGTACCCCACTCATAACATTAATCCCCAGATTGGCTGAACTCCATTTATAACAACACTCTCCTTTCTTCCATCCATCCAGTTTCATATCCAATGAGCCAGCCTTCTCACACCTTCAGAGAATTTTTTTAATAAGCTTTTAATGTTGTACCTTGTCAAATGCTTCCTGAAAATCCAGATACACAAAATACATTTGTACCCTCATACATATGGAGTAACCTCTTCAAAGAATGTCAAAAGATCAGTAAAACAAAAGTTTCTCCAAGTGAAACCATGTTGATTATCTAGCAAAATTTTAAGCTTTGTTAAATGACTTTGGAAAGCTTTATAATGTTTTGATGGTTTATTCCACCTTTATATCTTCCTTTGGAATTTAAATGTACCTTTGAAAAACATTTGTTGTTGTAGTTTATTTTTGTTTTTATGTATTTTTGTGTTTTTGATATGATTGATTTCATTAAATAAATAAACTGTAATGGGCATAATGCTTAGTTATTCAATAAAAATGTGATTACAATTAAAACATTTTTTAATCATTACAATATTTGTAAGTCGGGTGCTGTTAAAAACTTGTGTAATCTCCTTTCAGAACTGTGAAAGCAGAAAGAGAAAGTCTAAGAACTACATGTATTGTAGATTGCAGTTTGTCAATAACTGACTTTAAATAGTTCATAACAAACAATGAACTGTTACTACATTTATCAGGAATATAGTTCATGTCCATTTTCCTTGAGAACAGCTTTAAAGTTAAAAATCAGAGTTACAGGTCCCATTTCTCTTCCATTTCTTAAAGTACAAGGGACCACTTTTAAGTCATTCTTGTTCTAAGAATCATTGTTTCTGTCTATAATGTTAAACACTAAGCTAAACCAGGACATTTGTTTTCCAGTGAATTTACAGCTAGAGAAGTAATCAGCAGTTTGTTGAAGAAATTTAAAGTTGCAGACAATCCTCACAAATATGCCCTCTATGAGAGATATTTTGATAGGGAAAGTCACTGTGGTAGGTATACTGTTATTAAGTACATTCTAATGAATTTATAACAAAAATTGCAATACTATAAAATTCTTAGACCAGCCAGTTTTTATGTTCATTTGCAAATGTTTCTGAAATACTACTATACCATGAAGTAAAATAATCAGAATCACTGTTCATATCATTCTGTCAATTTGACATATTAAATGCTTATTGTACTAACTTAACAAAGGTCTTCTAGCATTATCTAGAAGATAACACTTGTAAAACAAATGTTGGTGCCACAGTAGTGCTATTAAATCATTTTTGGTATAAACTCTATTATTCATAGTACCTTTTTTTTCATGTAAATAAACAAATAGATATCTCCTTTGAATACGTGGCTATAGTTTGTTAATCATAGTATCTCTTTTTTTTTAAGTAAATAAACAAATAAATATGTCATTTCAATATATGATTATATGTCTAAAGGTTTTTTAAAAGACAAATTTTGAAATAAAATTTGTACCTAAAGACCATATGCCAAAGCAGTTACATTTATATCCAGTTATAAATTTTTTTTCTATTCATAAATTCCAGTATTTAAGAAAATTCCCATGCAAGACATAGACACAATTTTTCATATTTAAAAGTTTCAGAATGTAAAAAGAATAATACAGTACTCAAAAATTAACATATAATGCACAAATTCAATTTTGTTAAACTTTTCAATAATATATAGTCTTGTAATTACTAAGTTTGTACAGTTGTAATTATACACAAACCATCTAGTACGACTTCGACGAATCCAGGATTGGGAAAGACCTTTAGATCTCTCACTGCAGTGGTCACCAGATGATCAACAACTTGTTCTCCAAGAGAATGAAACAGGAGATATTAAGGTGTGTAGCTTTTCATATCATGAATGCATATAGGATAATAATAATACAGGAAATATTGGTGTGTAGCTTTTCATATCATGAATGCATATAGGATAATAATAATACAGGAGATATTGGTGTGTAGCTTTTCATATCATAATGCATATAGGGTAATAATACAGGAGATATTGGTGTGTAGCTTTTCATATCATGAATGCATATAGGATAATAATAATACAGGAGATATTGGTGTGTAGCTTTTCATATCATGAATGCATATAGGATAATAATAATACAGGAGATATTGGTGTGCACGTTTTCATATCATGAATGTGTATAGGAGAATGAGATGGGAGATATTGAAGTGTGTAGCTATTCATATCCTGAATGTGTGAAGAAGAATGAAATGGGAGACATAACAATTTGTACTTTTTTTTAGGTGAACTTAGATACTGTGTTGTTGTTTCTAGGCATAGTAGACGTGATATATAAATTCTTTTTATATAAGCATTTTATAGAATGAGATAGCAGAAACTTTTCATTGGAATAGTTTTATGTATACCATATCCAAAATATTAATTACATAATAAATTTAGTGTTTTTATACTGTTTGTGAATGCACAAATTACCATTAAACTAGATTTATTCGACATACCTCATGCTTTTCAATATAACAAATCAAGTTTTGTATGCAAAATTTATACAAGCATGACTTTACAGAAATTATCTTGGTGAAAAAAAAATTTCTCTCTCTCTCTTTGCTAATTTTGTTTCATGAAGCTTTTTCTTTCAGTGGGAAGATTTTACTCTTCCTGAATTGAAGAACTTCCTGAAGATACTAGACAGGGAAGAGAATGAGCACATAAAACAAGTTCGTAATAAGTATAGAGTTCATCACCAAAAGATCAAAGAAGCCATACAGCATCAACTAATTGAAAAAAACTTTATTGTAATGTCTTGATCTCAGTCTACTTCTTTATGTGTTAACTTGGAAGCTAATCCCCCTCCCCATTTATGGTATTTCATCATCACTTTGCATATTTGCTTGGAATCTTTAAATCTCTTATCCCTCATTTAAAAGAAAACAAGCAATGAGTATTTGTTCTTGAGACATTAGCTGGTCTATGATAATGTGAATGGTGATATATTGGATCAGAGATACTACCCTAAGGAAATTTTGGCCTGTTGGTGTATACTATTCTATCTTAAAAACAGTTGACCAGGTTTTTAAAAAAAATCTTTAATGTTTAGCTTGAAAAATACATCCTAAATTTTGAATTTGTGTCTAATTTCTAACCTTCAAGACTTTATTACAAAATTTCACAGTTTTTATTCATTTTAAAAAGCTCATTTGTAAACCTACATGCCAGACTTGAATGTTAGTATTCAACGTATGTCATACGGTCATAAATAGAAAGGAATGTGCCTAAGTACTGCATGTTTCTTTTCTTGGCGTTATGAATACTTTGATGTTTTTATGTTAAAGGTGTCTTGAATGTTTTCTGTTATTGTGAAATTGTCTTTAGTTCTAAATATTCAGTGACCACAGAGCTACTAAAGCAAGCTACTAACATCAGTTTCTGTATGTGTTTACTGACATTTGATGATGGGTTGACTTACTGTTTATGAACATTCATTCTAAAATTAAGAGGAAATGACTTGTGCAATTTAAACTATTTTCCTTTATGTACATTTGATGGTTTGTTTGTGACCTTTTAAAGAATATTTGGAGATTTTGCTGACATTTGTGAGCAATTGTGACCATTTTATTTAATGAAAGTATTATTAAAGTTCTGGGTTTTTTTTATGTTGTTTATAAACATATAAATTATATATACATGTTCACTTGCTACTTTTACTGTTCAGTAGCATTGTTAATCAAGGAAGAACAGAATAGTGTTCTTTAAGCATTGGTTGTGATTTGATGATTGTTTATGTTGGAATCATCGCTAAATAATGCAGCTAGTACTATACTAAGGTAATCACTTAGGTGAAAAGAATCACTGACTTGTATATCGTGATAAGGGTTGCACAAATTTTTAAGTGATAGCTTAGCAGCTATGTTTTCGAAGTATATGTATCTAAAAATATATCTTTCTAGATATGTATATATGTAGGTTATGAAAAGTGTATATGTATATTTTAAGTAATTTGATTTTCTTATGATTTTATAGAGAATCAAATATAACTAAAAGTATGATTACACTGCTTTTGTGATGTAACATTCATTGTGATGAAAATTTTAATATAGTTTGGTTAAAACTATATTATTAATTATGGAATCAAATTCTATAAGCACAAAAAGTCCTATTTTCCATCTGTTATCATTACCATTGCTTGATTGTCAGAAAAGTGTGGTGTGAATGCTTTAATACTGTTTACCTAAACAGTTGGCCAGTGTTAATTTCAGTTGGACAATTAAATTTGAGGAAAGAGTGTCAAAATAGAAGATATAACAGGACTGTTTTTCATCAAGTATTATTCTAATAGATAGATCTTGGGGTCTTTCTAGTCAGGGACCAGTATGAGATTTCCTTAAATCTACAAGTGCAAACCTATTGAAGTGTTCAAACCAGTAAATTTCTTAGTTCCACCATTCTCCAGCATTCAACGCTTGCCTATATTATACTCAGTGCCTAGAAGGAAATTAATGGAGATGTAAGAACCATCTTTAAACATTTTCTTTAATGCTTCAAATGAACAATATCTTTCTCAGCCTTACACCTATCACTTTAAGTGAAGTATTTTGTTACTTTGAAGTGCCTACTGTCACATGTTTGTCAAGTCTTTAGATTGTGACATATGATAACCAAACTATTTAGTGATTGAAAACTAATATATGCTTAACCTTGTTCTCTTAATGAAATTAATGTGTCTTGTTACTGCAAGTTAATGGGATGTTGTTAGGTCTGAAACTGAAAACAGAATAGATACAAGTTTGTGAATCTATCTACTGTCAGGTGTTAAAACCCACATCACTTTGCAGTATTAAGTATATGATATTAGTTAATATAGAATTTTGAAAATTTTCAACACAAATTGTATTGTGGTTTTCACAGTATCTACAATCTTTGAATTTATCTAATGATAAGGATTAAATTGTACATAGAACATTTTGTAAGAAAATGTAAAAACAAGTTTCAACAATATCTGTAATTTCAAATTCCAAACAAATTAGAGAAAGATGATGTTAACACATCTCTGTATAAAGGTAACATTTCAAATGGCAGGTATGTTTTTGATTCTGTAGCAAAATCTCAGTGAAAAGAGGGATATACTGTGCAACAAGAAAGAGGGAGAGATTAACATTTCTGAACATGGCCCACCTGCACCTTGAGCTGAAATAATGTAGGATACAAGCCACCAACATCTACTACTAGTCCATAACTAGATACAAAGCACTCTTTTAATTTTTGATATTTCAGTTGCCAACAACAGCAATGTAGCTCTGGCTTCTTTTTCTGCCTCCCTTGATCTTTGGTTGGCTTCTCATCTACATAGACAGCAGTCATATTCTTTGATGGACATCAGAACTGTTGTGAGCCAATCACTAATTATGCATATAGCTGTTTCCTGTGTCATTGAATTGGTGCATGTTACTAGTGATCCATTCTTTTTTTCCTCTTGCTGACTAATTTCCTTCTGAATCTCCTGTTCCCATTTTTACATTTAAGTTATAAGGAGTTTGTTGACATCGCTACACATACACAGCACTTTGTTTTCAGTGAGATGTTTTTCTTACCTTCATCCTCCTCTTATCTAATGTCTGTATTTTGGTTTTGGAATAATTTGACTCTGTTACCTTTTGTCTTCAAATTTCTAATTCTAATTGTCAAGGGAGAGGTGCTCCTTTTCTTGCAACATTCCTTTATTCTTAAATCAGTAGGATTTTATTTTTTCATTTATCTAAAGTATTTTTCTGCTTGTCTGTTGTTTGGACTTTTCCCTGTGAAGCAGAAGTTTATAAATGAATTGCCCTTATCTTTGTTTAGCATGTCAGCTCTCCATTATTGTTATACATTGGTCAGAAAGGGAATTTTTTTATTTTCGATGCAAATATCATTCATTATTTGTCTACTTTATTCTTCAAACGTGATAGAATTTTTTGTTGTTTTAGTTTTTGGACAAGCATTTGTCATTCTTACTCTGTTTGTTTCTTCATGTTTATGGATTGTTGTTCTACTCCTAAACTGATCACTCATCTATTTGCACCTTTGGACTCTTGTTCCTTCTTCAAATGTTCAGTCTTCTGAATCTTTGGTCTCTTGCCTGTTATGGAAGATTTATGGAAAATTTTTTCTGTACCGCTTGTCAACGGGTTGCCATTTTCTGACTATTATGGGAACTACATGTTGTGCACTTTCTTCTTAAGTATCGGATGGACTGTTTTTTGCTAAACTGTTCTCTTTCATTCAAAATGGCAAAAGAGGATGATCAAATGTTTTCTCTCATCATCTTTCATTTCTGCAATGCACATTCATTGAACTTCTGTGCTGATACTTGATCTCTTTTGTAGTTTAACTCTCATTCAATTTTTTAATGATGCTTGTCAGTTCCCATTTTTCTCTTTGTATTATGTAGCCATTTTTTCAGTATTCTTGAAAGTTGCTTTTATATTCTGTCATTGACTTTTCTCTCATTTGTTTAATTGGTCATATACAGGACAATACCATACTCTGATGGATCCCACCTTTAGGGTTGTTCTTTCTTCAGTGGTGAATTCTTTCATACAAATACATTGTTTTCATCTAACCTTACACATGGTTGGCGTCTGATTTACAGTCAGCCAGTTTAGTTAAATTTCTTCCTGGTCAGTTTTCCTAAAGAGCTAATTGCAGTATTCCACAGAGTTACATAACAAGCTAACATTGCAATAACATGCTGGAGTGAATATTATCCCAGGATAGTCTTCGTAGGTCACATTCTTCTTTCATAATTTGTATGGTCCTGTCTGAGATGTTGTTTTGGAGTTGATCCATCACATTGCAGTTCACCCCTTCGATTGGGATACCTCATCTTACTGTCACATGAATTTTGGTTCCCGGTGGCTGGTTTTGGATTTTTCAAGCAGGACCAATCAACATAAGCCCTCACACGTGTTGCCTCTTACTACCGTCATTTGGATGTCTGGTTAGTTGTGGATTGCGCACATGTGCCAATTTCATAGATCGGTTTGCACAGTATATACTTCTGTTCTACAGAAATTGAGATGACAGTAAGGGCCCTCCTCCTACCATGGATTGGAGGTTATATTCTTGATACTGCTTGGTTTTAGACTGGAATTGACCAGCTGTTTATGGTTTCCTGCAATCTAGTCACTCTACATGTTGGAACACATCCAGTTTTGCTTTCCCCCACATTACTGTCTGTAGAAACCTCTCTTTATCGAGATTGAAAGTATGTTCTTTGATGGTTTGAATTCCAATCCCACCATTCCTCTCCCTTTTGACTGTGCTTCTTTTGTCCACCTGTATCTGCAACACCTCTTTGCATACTGGACAAAGAGTAAACCCAGTACAGAAGTGGTATGGTCTTCCAAGGATGATTCTTTATTATGAGGATCATCAATATAGGGTGTTCTTCGGACGCTTTTAAAGGTTGCTTCTGTATATCCCTTTCACCAGTCCCTCCACCTATTCAGTGTGAGATTCTAGCTATGTATGTGAGAGGAGGTAATGTAACATATCACAAGTTATAATTCTTCTATATTGAAAATATGTTTTCGATAGGTATTTACCTCCCCTCGCACTTCCCACCCTTCCATCCCCACTGAAAACCGGTGCTTCCTTTTCTGCCTAAATTCGAACTGATAGTTTGGTAGAATTGAATAGAGGGAGCCACATGCCTCAGGAGGTTGTGTCACACTTCTATTGGTGAAGGGTTGTCACATTATGATTTGCATGTGAGATGTAGTGTTACCACGATAATCGTAAGTAAGTGGGAGTGCAAGACTTGTGTCATGCAAACATTTTTTGATATAGAGGGTAGCACTGAACTAGAATAGCTATATATGTGACAGGAGGTAAGTACCTATTGCAAATATATTTTGAGTAGAGGAAAATTATAACTTCTGTACATAAACTGATTGATATTTGTTTACTTTCAGATTTTTTCATTTTAGCTTTGGTAATTCATCTTTCTGTTCATCCAGAAATTTTGTTAAATTTATAAAACTTGTGGTTTTAAACACTATTGAAATAGAAATTGATAATTATCTTTAGGTAGAAACAATTCCTCCTACATCCAATCTGTTTTTGAAAAGAACTGTCTCAAAAACAACATTGGGGAAGATGTATTATTTAATATACTTAAGTATATAGATACTTCCCGTTGGTAAAAAGCTACTTTGTAGCTCATGAAAGTTTAACATTTTTAAATACGACATATTGAACTGATAGGATAATGAGGCTTATGTTAACACTTCATCAAAGTAATAGCAGTACTTCCATCTAGAGATAAATAGCTACTTGATTTCATTTCAGTTAAAATATGTAGAATTTTCTTTTTTTCTTGAATATAGGACATAGCTGTTTATTTTCTCAAACTTGATAAAGCCATCACTTTTCAGTGTCAAAGTAATACTAGAATGTTTAATGTTAGGAACATTATTACATATGTTTATTTGTCCATATGTTTATTTTATTAAGATTGCCTATATTATAGATACAATTTAATTTGAGATATTTAAGATAAATAAAGCTTGCATATCTTAGATCCCTGCATCCAGTAAAATCTAAATTTTTGTCAGAAGCCCAGTTAGTCTTAATTCAATGGTTTGTCAAGTACTATAGGTTGACGTTGAAGGATTATATTTAGCCCACTGACTGCTGATTCACTTTATAAGGTACAGTCTGCCTCCGGCAGTTGAATGCAAGTGTGCCATATACAGTGTACAGCATGCAAAAAATTCTGCACATGTTTAGAGCAGCCATAGTCAATGGGATAACAGGTCAGCCTTTCCAGGGTAAAAAAATGTGTTTGTGTGTGTGCTTATATAAAATATTGTTTAGTGTATTTTGTTTAAGTTAGTTTTACAGTTTTGCCATTTTTCCATCTAACACATCTTTTGTCAGTTTTTCCATCTAATACATTTTTTGATGAAAATTGTTTACTGCCAGTTTTACAGTATA